CTTACGTTGGCAGTTGATCCAAGGACTGGGGTTGATCTGGCAGCACAAAAGGGCCTGTTCCTGTGCTGGAGAGGCGGCGCATTGCCCTGTGCTTCGCTATAAAAGCCATTAAGATGCCAACTTGAACTATTCAACTATTTTTAAATGCCCTGAATTTTTGTTGTTCCTGCTTTTTTCCTAATGTTACTCTTTGACGTGCAGTATGGTTTGATGAGTTGAAGCTGGTAGCTTGGCTTCATCCTTTTGGAATACTGAACAGTTTTCCAGGAAACTGAAGTGAGATGACATCAGCAGAGCAAGAACAGCAGCCGGTGGATACGCATCTTCTTTAGACCGGTCTGTGTAAGCTGCCATCCATATGGCTCTTGAAATAAATGTTTGTCTGTTGGGAAGCCAGTAAAAAGCTGCGATGTGCAACCGAGAAGATTTTTGTCTTGTAAAACTTGGCAGGGTCCTGGTTAGCCAGCGACAGCCCCCGCAGCGGCTGCTTTTCCTGCTGAGGTCCGTAGTGAAAGTGAGGCGGAGGTGATGTTTGTACGGATTGAATTGTCTCTGTCAATCTGATGGTTCTACATTGCCTGGAATGGAGGTATCTGTTTAGCTAACTCAGGGAGAGACTGGCCTTACTCGGATAAAAGAGTAATATTTCATGTATTAGCCCAAGTTCTAGCTGGCCTGGGTTGCTGTTGGATTCTCATGTTGCTGCTGGCTGTTACAAGAGCAGGAACATGGTACGGGGACAGATTTTAACCTTTCTTCAGCTCGCCAGGACAGCTTTTAATAGGTAGGAAAGGAGGCGGTGGCTCCGGCTAACCTTTCGGTGTCTATTCTGTGGAGGATAATGTCACGCTGAAACTCAGCCAGTGTGATAAGGGTGCAGGGCTTCGTCAAGTGTTTGCTCGCCTTATGGAAATATTGGGCTCTGAGAAGGTGTAAGGACCTTCCACGCAGTACTGCTGGAAATATGAGAGTTTTTGCAAAAGGGATTTAACCCTTCCTGTACTGTGCTTTGATTGATTTCTGCTTTTATTCCTGCCATCTCCCTGAAGAGGGTGATTAGGACACAGGCAGATTGCATCTCCTTTTGTGCTATGATTTACCATCCATGCTTTAAACTCAGAGACTTTACCTGGTGGAAGGAAGAACATTCATCATCTGGCCTTAAAAAGGCGTAGAGATGTTTACAACTTGCTACAGGGATTCCTTGGATAGGACCCAAGCTGCGGGGCACACGGCCATGGCACAAAGGGAAGCGTTGCCTGTCGCAGGTAGGACTCAGCTGTTGCTCTCCCCTGCCTTGAGGAAAGGGGAACGCCTATGGCCCCTTCCTAACCCCAGTCTAATCCCAGTGCCAACCCTTTCCACCCTTGGTAAAGACTTCAAAGACCAAGACCGTCCATGCAGCTGGTGAGGGGAGCACTTAATGCCATTAAGCTTTAAAATCAGAGCGTCAGCAGCTCTGTTTTGTGAAAGGTTGGATGTTGTTGGTCTTTCAAAGTACATCTGTTGGATAATAGCCCTTCTGGTTTAGGTAGAGACCTCCTTAATGACCTAAATGCTGAGCTGGTCCTACTATTGCAGCTCGGAGTAGACACAGAAAAATGACTTCAGGACTTAGAGCAATTTTCAACGAGAGGTATCCTGGGAAGTCTGTGTGCACCAGGGCCAGTGTCAGCTTGCGAAAGGAATTCAGGACTTCAATTTTAGGTGCTTGAATTTCGCTTCAATGCCTTTGTTAGCTCTGTCCTTCAACTTGAACTAGGGAAAAAATACCTGGCTCCTCACCATGGTAGCCAACCACCAGTAGCAGTAGCCTTTCTCTAGCTTTACACGTGCCGATGTAGATTTGATGCTGTGCAGCACGCATTCATTCTTCAGGCTCGTTTTGGCACGTTGCGTGCTGTTTTGTGCTGTTTTATTGCGGAATCTGGTTGATACAATGCTGGGATGTGGCTAGAAATGTCGGTGGTGCTGCTCGGGGAGGTTCTGTTGCTTTAGGAGGTGGCAAACTTGTTAAAGCAGGTTCTGGGTGCTTTGGAAACTTGGCTTCAGCTTCTGACAGGCCACCTGTGGTTTGCCTGCCTCATCTGATGGAACAGAGATTGAGTGGATGCTACAGTGATTTCCTTCTGTTGGTTTTTGTTTTTTAATCTGAGGGGTTTGGGAGCTGTGAGCAGGAGCAGCATGAGGTTTGGAAAGTAGCCCATCATGAGTCTGTACTCCCTGTTTGAGGCTGAAATTTCCAGCACCTGATGGCTGCTCTGTGATAATGGTTGGTTGGCTGTGGCTTGGATCCTTGTTCCATCAGTTCACTGAAGGTGTAAAGCCCCTCGCTGGGATGTCCCGAGAAGCTGACAGAGCTCACAAACCACAGGCTTAGATTTTATAATTGTACAGGGTTTGATTCCCATCACTTACAGCCGGAGGTGAAGAGCGACAGCTGCGAAAGAGGCCTGGAATTGCTGGTTGTGGCACGGTGAGATGATGAGTATTTATTTGGTGGCAATCCTGGAAAGCCAAAGAGCTCCACTATGAATCGTTATTGGCATGGCAGCTTTGAGTCAGCTTGGCTATGGACAGAGAGATGATTCTTCCAGGAAGGGGAAGGGCACACATTTGATGAGTTAAGGGGTGGTGAGAGCTCTCGTTGCCCATGGTTTGCCTGCTGCAGCTCAGCCTCGTACCTAAACTGAAAGGTCTGTGTTTGTGCTTAAGTCATGGTGAAGGGCAGTGACAAGAAAAAATTCTTTCAAGTCATGACTTCTGCCTGTGGTGTCCTGCCTCGCTCCAAGATCAAAACGGTCAGTGTTTTGCAATCACGGCCCGTTGGAGCTGCGTCACTTGGTTACGAAGGCCTGAGCTGGTTGCAGCTTGATTGTTGGGAGTCGCTGATGTTATCTCCCCCAGCAGTGAAGCAGCGTTCCCTGCCCGCCTCTGTAGGAAAAACTGACTCCACCACCTGCATAAATAGCAGGGGGGTTTTAGCAGCCTTGCTTTATCGGGTTTGGGACCTTTGTTTCTGAATTTTAGTTTGGTAATTATGGTATCCTCTCAACCTCAAAGAGAGGCTGGATGGGACACGCCAAGCAGTTTTGGAGGCTGACCACTGTTCAGAGTTCTCAGGTTGGCAGGGATGCAGACAACCCCTTTGTGCTGAATGATGTGTGAAGGGCAGCTCACGCCACAGGTGCCGAAAGCTCCCTGCTTCTCAGCTGCTTTCCTCGGGCTCCTGAACCTATATGTGTAAAATTGGCAAAGTCCTTTCCTCTGCCATGCCTGAAGAGCTGGACTGGTGCATTTTACCTCTAAACATTGGTGATGTCAGCCAAGTCCTGTGGTCTGGCTTATGTGTGAACTGGCACTGCCCCGAGAGCACTAATTCAGCCTGAGCAGAGCATGGATTGCTGGTCCTTCTTCTGTAGTCCTCTGGCTTTTCCTGTGGCTTTTTCCTAGCCAAGGTTGTCAAGAAAATTTGCCATTCCTTCCCCCAGAGACTTCTCATTTCTCGCCCACCCTCCTGCGGGCAGATGCGAGGGTCTAAGAGTACACAAATTCACCTCAATGTAAAAATAAGGCTATTTTCTGCTCTCTTGTTTAAAATTTGATGTAGTGTCTCTAAGGCCTAATTGGAGCTGTGGGGAACTGTTTCCTTGCTCTGTGGCCATCAGCGGGCTCAGCCATGCAACGCTCTAGAGCCAGGGGTTTGTAGTGAGAGGAGGAGGAAGATGAAGCTGTTTATTCCAGTATCTCTTACCACACATTCTTGCACCCGAGTATCTAGCAACCAACTGAGCATACTCTTCATATGGCTGTACTCCAAAGTGCTGCCTGCAGTTCATTTGGGAGAGACTAGTTACCAGTTAAACTTGCAGATCATAATTTAAAGAAATGTTTAAAAATAAGTTCTGCATTTGGCCTCTAGTTTGTTCACCAGTGCTCTCTGAACTCAGATGCCAAAACCATCTGTGGAACGCAACTGACAGTGACAGCAGCATGGACTGGGAGTGAGAGCGGAATAATGACTTTGCATCATCACCGATCCATCATCACCCATCTTTACATTTGGAACCAGTGCTGGTGACAAGAATTTCTGCAAGGCGCAGCAGGAGTAACTTTCACACAGCCTGTGAAACTTCAGCCACGTTTTGCTGAGAAACGAGTGAGTCTCATTCTTCCCTCTTGTTGCTTCCTAATTAAAGCAAAGCTGGAGGCTGTGATGGGCCAAGAGGTGCTGAGGAGCCAGTTTCTTCCATCTTCAATTGTTATGCTCAGGTGTTTGTGTCAAGTGTTCCTGGGACACCTGCCACTGCCGTCAGGTGTACTGGGCACACTGGACCAGCTGGGAAGGTTTGCTGATGACAGCGCTGCTGGCGTGTGCCGAGGGCTGGCTATAAATAAGGCGATGGGAAGAGCTGCAGTTGTAGATAACAGCTGAGTGCTGAGCTGGGTTCTGACAGCCTCAGCCCAGAGGTTAGGAGCAGAGCTTGGAACACTACCATAGTAGGAAGCAGGCACGAGCAGTTCAGCCCCACGTATTAAGGCATCCTCCATAGTCTTCCAGTTCAGCTAACAGCGGAATTTGAGCCCGGTATTTTTAAACCTCATGCTGTTGCGTTTGAAGGGTCTCAGACGTGTCACCTCACTAGGATAACGCTGTTTGCTAGCGCCGTGCTGCTATCCCAGCCTGGAGGGTAAGAGACATTATGTTCAATTTAAAACACGTTACTGAAGTTGGCTGAAGCTGCATATTTAGAGAGGCTCCCTCTGCTCTTAGGCCAAACAAAACTTTGTTTACGGGCTTTGGAGCAGAGCATTACAGGACGCTGGGAAAATCCTGTTTCTACCCTCAGAGAGCTTTAATGGCAGAAGAGTCCCGGGGTTTGGGGCACAGAGCAAGTTCATCTTTTCACCTAGGGGACGGGGAATTGATTAGCAGATACTTCAGGCCAGGGCAATTTGGAAAACAGAAAAGGACAAAAAAAAAAAAAAAGAAAAAGATGTAGTTGGGAAAGAAACGTTTATTTTCAGTTTCTCAGAGGGATTTTACAAACAATGGAGCATTTTAAAAAAACTTGAGTGATCAAAGTACTTGACAGTGTCCCTTAAACACACACACAAGCCCCTGGACAGAGGAAATCACACCAGCGAGGAGGTCGACACTGCCGGAAGAGCAGCTGGCATCTGCATAGTTCTAGGAGGAAAGATTTGCAAAGGTGTTGGTGCTAATAAGTGTCATCCTGGCATTAATATATGAGCGCTGAAGTATGTACGCATGTACCTGCAGAAAACAAAGTGCATAAAATAACACGCAAGGTATGTATTGTAGAATAAATTTATTTACCTGATACAAATGAAACTAGGTGTGATGCGTCTCACTGTCAGCACGTCAATAGACGATTGATCTTATTTACAGCTTCTAAAGGTCACACATGCAGTTGTGGTATCTGGCTAAGTCGGTTGCTGTTTTGTAGATAAATGCATCACGAGATTTTGTATTGCACCAACATTCGTCTTACTGCTTTAGATTTAAATAAGTTACGTTACAGTGCAAAAGAGGTCGATTTGCACAGATGATAATAAAAAAACCCGAAGTTATGAATTGGAGGCTTACGGTTTAACATTCATCTGTAACCTTTTTCAATGAATTTTTATAAATAGGATAGCATTGTACATAAGCTGTTATAGAGTAGTACGTTTGGATGATACAATACAGAGAAAGATTTGTCTACAACCGAAGGCATGCATTATTTTGATATTGTACATTGTATAAACTGACATTTTACATACAGAAATATGGAAAATTGGCTGACAGCTCCGCAATTGTTGTTCAAGGATAAACCGACTCTTCTCCGCGCAGCACAGAAACCAAACTTCTCTGGAGAGAGAGTTTTCCGATTCGGTAAGCTATATTGCACGTTTGTACATCTGTATAATGAAGTCCTAATGGTACCACACATTTCTTCCACAGAGAACACAATGAGTTTTGTTTTAGGGAAAGCAAAGAATCTTTACACATGATACATGCAGAAGTTTTGGTAGATGTGTTGCTAAAAAACACATGCACGCAACAAAACAACCTTACATTTCTGCAAAATTGTTTAGGAAGCGATTACTCCAGTATTGCTGAAAAGGAAAGAAAGAAAAGGCATCAGTTAATGAAAGGATGAATGCTAAGTACCATTACACAAGCAAGACTAAGATCAACAGTGACAGAAGAAAGAATGTTAAGCTTGATAACTGCCTGCTCTGCCATTGAAGGGACACTCTCAGGTTACTTTGTTCCTTTACTAGACCCCTCTGGATTAGGGCTCAGCTCCTCTGAACGAGGCAGAGCCCCCTTCATTGAGCCAGCGCTTCCTACAGAGGACTGCAGAGCTCATGAGCTGGGACGTGTTCAGACAGCTTTTGTCTTTCTCTGCCTGGCTAGTGGCAAAAGACAAGTCTCAATTCTTTTGTAATTTTTCCTTCCAAAGTCTGTGCTACACGGTTTGAGCTCCAGGTTTTCTGAAGCTTGAGGCTGTTTTTCTAAACAAGGTGTTAGGTTGCGAGTTTGGCCCCAAAGTGACCTAACAATGTCCCTTTTCCAAGTTACGCAGCTTATTCTGCGAAGCAGTAGGACAGCTTTGAAGAAGTCATTAAACTACACAGATGAATGTGTAGGCGAAGGGTAGAGTACAATGTCATAAAGCTGCTACTGTACTTTACCCCTAAAACACAGCGTAAGGTTAGCCTGGCGTCTAGGAGAGCACCGTGTACTCCAGTTCCCTAGAACTTGACGGTGGCTCTTCCAAACACTGCTTCAACACTAAAATTTAGACTCTCCTGCTAAGATTTGAAAATTAATGCAATTAGGGATGTAATTAGCAGAGATTAGGGAAACAGTTAATGGTTAGAAGTGCATAAAAGTAAACAAGACAGGTGCAAGAGACAGACAACTTCTTTATATCAGTTTTACCTCCCTTCCTCTCAGCAAATTCAACCATCTTTAAGCTTTTTACCATGTGTATTCTGTGCATCGGCTGTGTTCTTGGAACAGTGACAGAGGACTGCTGTACTGCATTTTATCATCAGATTAAAAACTCATTTTCTTACAATTAAGACTTCTCCAAAATGGCCTCCCTACAAACTTAAGCCTCATAGCATTTTTGACAGGCTGGTATGTATTTTTTCTGCAGCCTCTCTCATGTTTATTTGCAAGAATACTTTGGGAAACTGAGTAGGAACTATTTTTATTGCTTGGATGCTGGCAAAAAGGAGCAGCTCGTTGCGTAGCCCACAAACGGTACTTTGATTCACTCACAGCTGAAAGCAGAGAGGGCCTGAGGCACGACAGAGATAAAAGCTCCCTTCTAAATATTTGATGTACGACTGCAGCTGCCTGACCATTTTCTTTGGTCTGATTCGGACAAGGCTATAGAGGCTGGAGAATTCAGCTCTCATACCAAACCCCACTGGATAAGCCAATATTCTTCTGGTGTTCCTAGCATAAGTGAGCATCAATCACACGATTGATACTGGTCTTACACGCCTCTCAGACTATGATACGTGAGGACACTAAGGAATCCAGTGAACAGCAGAGATTGGAAAAAAAAGCTCAGTGAGATGAGAGCAAAGCGAAATAAAAAGTGTATTTTTGAAATATGGGGTGGGAGATGAAGCTTGGGTAACCTCAAGTTATTTCTTCTTAAACAAGTGCTTCTGCTTATATATTCACAGGGCTAAACCCTTAAAACAGGAGTTACCTATTTCTACTCCTAGAAAACTCCTCCCTTCTTGGCTTCTCTAGACAAAAGGCCTGAGAGCTAACAAATGGCAGGATCTACGTGATCACAGATAGTAATCTTAGTTAAGATGTTTTCATACAGTGCATTACTAACCTCGAACTGTGTTTCTATAGTTTCTGTAATGGAAAAGTCAAGCCAGCAGCTGCCTTACGCTATTCCAATGCCAGAAGCACACTTGAGCAACCTCCCACAGCCCACGCAGCTGAGAAGGGCTAAGAGCAGATCCAAGAGCACACGGAAGCTTGCAGCAGACAGGTGATTTCAGGGCAGAGAGCTTCCTTGACTGGGAGGAAGCTCATGGTAGAGCTCAACGTTTGGCCAGACCATACAAGGCTGGTGTTTACCATGTAGTGGTAACAATCGGAAAACAAAAGCATTGCAAGTACAGGAACACAAGGCCCTCATGCTACGAATGAGCTCGGATGTCAGCATTGAAATCCATGACACAAATAGCAAGATTCATCTTCAACAGAGACAGAGCTCTAGCGAAGAAGTTGAAGACTGAATTCAACTTAGACATTCTCCCCTTCAGCTTCTTAGAGACAGGGAAAAAGGGGGTTTGTAGGAGGATTATTTGGCTTAATAGACAGGAATAGCATTGTTCAAGAAGCAGTTTTTCATGGTGAGTCAGATATAGGACTTTAAAAAGCTCACCACCATGGTGCTCTGGAGGTTCAAAGATTCAGCATTTTGCCCTGGAAATAGTTTGTCCATTACATTGGGAGCACACAGAACTAACTAGGCAGTGTTTGTTTCCAACAACAAATAACATACCTGTATATATTTTGATCTCAAGGAATCCTAAATCATATGGAATATTAGCTTCCTGTCTCAAGAAACAGGGACAAGTCTCATATTGATTGATACAGCCAATGGCTGGTGCTGGCTGTTGGTTTTGTGTTATGCAAAATCTAAATTCAGAAGACAGGTTCTTCCACTCAAAAGAGAGCATTCAATGGGATTTAAATGCTTACAGTTCAGCAACACACCTACTGCACCACTGGGTCCAACTCCCCGACTTGAGTCACTTCAGCATCGACTTAAGTCTAAGTCTATATAAGTAGTGAGTATTCACAATGCAGTGGGATTTCAGACAGGGTCAGAGTATTTTAAAGTTAGCATCTATATTTGAAGATGGAAACCTAGAGATTTATCAGTGTCCTGGATTCCAGCTGGCACCAACTGAACATAGCTTTAACTATTGCTTTCCTCCATGAGGAATCAGAAACGGTTTTGAATATTCAAGCAGACTGAGCCAGCAGAAGATAAGGCAGCAGCTGCTACTCTACAAAGACAGAGTGACCCCAGGACGATTTTCAAAGACTCCCCTGTCAAGCTGAGACTGATCTTTCGTCTTTTTATGATCAGCGTACAAAGCGTTTCCACTTAACTGGAAACAACGAGCTGTTTTTTTGCAAAGAGAAGTGTCTGTGCTTAGAGCTTCAGATACCAGCGACCAGGAGAGGGTGGTCAGATCAGAAGGCATCCCCTACTTCAGAGCAGGAAAAGCTTTGGAGTAAACCAGCACCTGACAACAAGTACCAGAGTGTTTAGGACACTAAACATTCATATGAACAGCTGTTGCTGTCTTAAGTTACAGATTTGTCCAATTTTATCTCAAACTTAAGACCAAAAGCTGGAAGGTCTTGGGGCACTAGACCTAAAATACACTAAACCAAAAGCAAGTGCTTTGCTTTTGGAGCCAGGAATTTGAGCTTCAGACCACAAAACAGAGAGTCTAAAGTGGTGATAATAATGTAGCACAGCAGAGTGTGACAAAACACAGCATGGGAATGAAGGAAATTACTATTTATTCTTCAACATGTATACAGCATACGCTATTTTACAGCAAGTCACCACTGGCATGGTGAAATGGAAGAGAAATACTCACTTTAGTCGATGAAAGTTGGAAGGCATTGGAGAAAAACACCACAGTTAGGACTGTTAATGACTTACACATTGTTGATACAGGACTGAATTTGAAAACATGCTTTAACATTTACCGTAATAATGAAGGTGGTTAGTGCCACATTAAAATAAAAATAGTTCTATACAATATGTTCAATTTGGTCATGTGCTATTTACAGATTTTACAAAACACACACACGAGCTTGTTACTTCAAGTCAGGCTAACAACAGACCAGCAGAGTAACTCCATGTATACAACTGATCATTAGTGCCCTAAGTGTACGAAATCCAATTTCTAGCTATGCAGTGCAAGTTATTTTTCTAGGTATCATTACAAGTTTTGATCTTAAAAGGGGAAGAAAAATAACCAAAAACGAAAGAAAAAGAAAGGAGCTGACACATGTAAATAAGGTATTAAACCCAGCTTAATCTCTCCTTTGAATTAGAAGAGATTGTGTTTGTTAAAAAGGCTTGTTTTAGACTGAAGTAGACAGGAGTAGCCCTCCCTATCCCTGCATAATGGGCAATGCTGGCAAAATAAGGTCTGTTACAGTAAAATACAATAGACAAATAAATAATCTTAAAAAACAACCCTATAAGTGTTGAGAGCATGGAAGAACCCCAGCAGGCTGCACCTGGAATGGTATTTTCTGCACGAGCAAGATTAGGCATACCTCATACAGAAACTGGTGTAAACAAGGACAGTCAAGAACCGAGACCGAGTGAGGGAAGAGGAAGAGGGGAAAGGGAAAAGAAATCCTGACTGAGGTTGCAGTACTCTCTACCCAGTGCAGAAAGTTCCGCTTGCAAATAAAACCTGACTTTATGACAAATTAAGTTTGGATGATCATGCAGAAGACAAACAGTTACATGCTTTTTTAGTTTTAGACGACACACATTCATTCCCTAAAATCTGCTGCCAATTTAGTTTGATAGTGTCCGCTGGCTCAAAAAAAAATAATTTTACTTTTTTTACATGATGAATAGACTATTGAACAGAACACTGTACATGCTTTTCATCTACAAAAAAATATTTGCATAAAATAGTGTTAGTTCTCTGTACATGTCAATGGACACTTTAACTGTGTATAAAAGAGGAATATATTGCCCCCACTGAAGTCAGAAAAAAGCAAAAAAACCAAAATCTAGATTATGAAACCTCCATCACCGGCAAATATGTTCATGTGAAAATTCAGCAGAAATAGACAGTTGCTCTAAACAATAAAAAAATTAAGTTAAACTTTTTCTTTGAATGTAAAACTCGTCACCATGTCAGTCAAGACCAAAACATATCACTAAAGTTAGTGTCTGTGCTGTAAAGCCAGATAACCAAGGGCATAGTAATGAACACAAACGGCCAGGAAACTCCTTCGGTGCATGCTGACAACGAACACGGTTTGGTGGCAGGCCGCACACTATCTTTACCAGGTTCCAGGTAGTTACGGGCCACATATTTAAGTGTTTCATCCAGCAGAATGACGGGCAGCGAGATCTTCAATACCATCAGCCACTGCGTCAAATTCAAAGGGGTGATCTGGAAGATAATCTGAAAGAAAAGCCAAGCGTTATGTCTTTTCTCCCCCTGCGGCCCTTGCCTTAAGCTCCAGACAAGTTTTCCCTCAATCTCCCAAGTTCAGGGACGGGTGTAAGACACGTGGCACTTACTGGCAGCGGTTCCACATAAAGGATAAGGAAGTGGAGCGACATGGACAAGCAAATAGCGCCCACCAGCCAGATATTTTCCCATGGGGGCATCCTCATCAAGGACTGATTTTCTGATAGGCTGCAAGAGAAACACGGTACATATGTGTATGTAAGACATCAAGAACAAATTCAATAAATAGGAAAACTAACTGGAAGGAAAAACAGCATGGCAAGCCACAGTTACCTCAGGCACAACGGAAAAGATACTAAGATGTGGTTTTAAATACATGTTGCAACTACCTTGGAAGGCTGCTTAGCAAAGCAGTTGCAGCTCAGCCTCACATTTATTTTTAAAAGCTTTTGTAAGTTCTGCTCACTCCTGATCTAGTCCACCTTTTTTGCCAAGACTTCAACATTCTCTCCACGGGCAGGCTAAGGGAAAGGCAGGCATGGCAACGTAAAACAGAATCCTTCCCAGTCTACTGCACATCTGGGGATCCAGTGCCCCCACTTCTGCAGTTTGCTTCAAGATTGGATATACAGGGGGTCAAGTACTTGCACCTTCTTAATGCTTGCTCCTTAATTCTGCTCTTCAGATTCAATCTGCATTTAGGCTACACTGCAGAAGAGGCAGAGATCCAGAGCATCAGATGTAGAGCAATATTTTACTATGTAGGACTACCACAGTACACTTTTATTTCAAGTTTATTTGTTGTTAAATTAACTGACCTCCAAGCTATTTGAAGAAAAATACCCTTGACATCGTGCTATTTAGTGGTTTCCATTTATAATCTAATATTAATTGGCTAAACCCACACTCCCTTAGGGCAAGAAAAACTATTTTCCATATCTTCAGCATTCTTATTTTAGTTCTCCTTGATATCACTTTATACCAGCATAGGAGGGATAATCTGATTGATTAAGCTTAGATTAGAAATAATGGAAAATATTTCAGTTGCTTGTGCTTAGTGCAACACCAGAGCGAACTGGCAGACTTAAAAATACACCGTAAGATAACATTGCAGATCTCTTATCAAAGAGAGTCATTTTGTTTGCACTGTCAGGATTCAGAAAGGAAATATGACTCATTCTTTCATTAGTTGAGCTGTCCATACACTAAGAATTAAACCTGCCCAAAAAGCAGGATGTGAGATAAGCAAGGCAGAAGTCGTGCATTCCTATTTGGCCGTACGAACCTGTTGAGAGCATTGCACATCTCAATGGTGACAAGTACAGAAAGAGCCATTGTCATTGGATACGGAGACTCAAAAACCACACAGTCGATACCCGAGAAGTCTGGATTGTCCTCTTTGCATTGCAGAAAATGGCTCTAGAACAGAACAACAGGAACTCACTTCTAAAGCCTGTTAACTCTGATATTGTAAAATAGGCAGGTATGAAATAAGGAGTGAGTATTAAGAAAACAAAACTTTTTAATATGACTCCTATAAGCACTAGTTTTAAACTTTTGCCAGCTTTAGAAAAATCCCCACTAGTCTTTTACAAGACAATTAGTCCTTCAAATCGCTCAGAAGCTTAAGTACCCCACTCTGAGCTTTAGGATTAAGACTAATTATCATGAAGTTTTACGATAACAAGTCTGAAAACATCTCATTATATAAATTTCTATAAACTACTGGTTTTTCTACAGTCATTTCAAGTAACAATACAAAAGAAGCATGTACTTCCCCTCTCCCCTCAAAAGATACAAAACTGAGCAAATACCAGCTGATAAAAGGAAACTCTTGGACCTCCATCAGCAGCAATAAACCACCAAGCAGCAGCACCCACTGTGGCAGCACCAACATAACCTTAAAGAAAACAAAAGTGCTCTTTTCAGTGTTGTGAACTGTGCACAAGAGAAGATCTCGCTTGGCACACTCAAACCTTTACCCTGAATACTGTGAAAAAAATTATTAGATTTCGGATTTAGAAGCAGTTCTACATACAACCTCAACAGCTAATGCAGTTGCACATTCACTAACAGCTGGTCTCAGTTCTTCACTCCAAAGTCCTCCTTTTCCCAAGGCCGACAGGACAAGTCAAAATCTGCTGGCTCTGAGCTCAAAGTATTTCAGCCTAGAATGAGTCAAATGGGAAAAGGCAAGTAGGTGGCTGCTTGAGACCAGAGGTCAGACTCAGCCCTCAGTTCACGTGTTCCTGAAGGGTTTCCCTCTTCTGAGGACTGTAGTACTGTCACACAATTTCAAAGGCCTAATCCTGTATGACAGTTATAAATTTCTAATGGTTTCCTGGTTGTCAAAATAGAAGATTCAGATGAAGTGGTGAATGATAAAGGAGGAATACTGGTTCCAGAGAACATCTATTGCTAGCTTTCAAGATTTCGTCAGACAAGGAGATTAGAAAAAGTGCTTAAGTGGATCTCATACTAAGTTTCCTTTAAAAACATTAAAACAAAAATGCTGTTACTACTTACACCCAATAGCTAGGTAACGGAAGAAGAGCCAGCCACTGATCAGTGGCTCCTTAGGGTTGCGTGGTGGCTTATTCATGATATCAAGATCAGGAGGATTAAAGCCCAGGGCGGTAGCCGGGAGACCATCTGTCACAAGGTTCACCCATAGCAGCTGGACAGGAATTAGAGCTTCAGGAAAACCCAGGGCAGCAGTCAAGAAGATACTACAAAAAAACCCCACCAGTTAGAAGTTTATTCTCATGCACGTAAATAAGTCCTTTCAACGCTTAAGCCGAAGCCTGTTCCATCATTCCTGTTCTCTCACATGGAGACAAGGAGTTTTCCATTTAATATCACAAGCTGAATATCCACACTCAAAAACCTAAAAATATATCCCAGAGCAGACACTTCTAACCACTGGCTTCTCAGCTTTGAAGCATTGTCACCTTCTGGGAACATCAGGAATTGAACAGTTTCTGCTGTAGCCGCCTTCTTGCCTCACTTCACTTGTCTGTATAGGTAAATATAGACGGATGTGCATGAAGACTTGCAAGCCACTTTCTAAAACACACCAGAGCTTTTGCAGACATAATAGCATAATAGCTTCATTAAGCTAGATTACCGCTAGTCCCTGCAAAAATTTAATGAGCATGTAACTTTCATAGCTCCAAGCCTGTGTGAATAAACAGAATAGAAACAGGGGCTGCAGCAAGAGCCATATGAAGGACGTGTTAACGGTTACGAGAAACAAGACGAGACAATTGCTGTGTCATATTCCACTCTGGGAGAAAGTATGCTTTGATATAACTAACTGTTTCGAGATCAGTATTTACATTCTGTAACCAGAAATGCATTTTGTGCCATTGGGTCACCATTCCTTCCAAAGACAGACAAGATACATTCTTCTGTAACTTGAGGTTAAACAAACATCTAAGTTTTATCTGTGACTAAGTTATTTGAAATACCAGATCTTGTAATATTTAAGGGTTTTATTTTCCTCTTCTAGAGAATTATTCCACTCATAGAAATAACTGAAAAGCCTTTAACTACCTACTGAGTTAGAATATTCTATGCAATGCAACGTGAATCTTTTTTTGATAGGCCAAAATTCTCCAGTAAAGACTAGGGCTCTTCACAATCACCATAATCAATTACCTGGAGAAGCTGTTTCTCTGGTTTTAGTGAGAAACACTGGAAGTAAATAGCTAACTAACAAAGAATCTCCTCGTCACTACTCTAGTTCAAAGAAAAAAAGCAACAAACATTTTAAACCCACCAAACAACTTCTCCAACATTGGAGGAGATCAAGTAACGGATGAACTGTTTCATGTTGTTATATATCGCACGTCCTTCTTCCACAGCAGCTACAATAGTTGAGAAATTGTCATCTGCTAAAACCATTTCAGAAGCAGTTTTAGCCACTGCAGTACCAGAACCCATAGCAATTCCAATTTCTGCTTTCTTCAGTGCAGGGGCATCATTGACACCATCACCAGTCTAAAACAAGTTGGGAGAAAAAAAAAAAAAAAAAAAAAGAAAAAAGAAAAAGGTATGCACTTACTATAGGAGCAGAAAGAAAATCTGCACTGGGTGTGGTTTTGGATGTGGTGGTTTTTTTTAAAAAAAAACAAACCACAAACACTTAAGTGCAGAACTGTTCTGAGGCTTTTAGTTCAGGAAGAAACAAAAGTATGTGTTTTCCAGAATGAGGCCTCAGTCTGAAAAGGTATAATTTGGATTTAAACACACTGTGTGTGCCTTTCAAACCAAGTAAAAGCTTAATCACTTACCATAGCTGTAATCTCATCAAAAGACTGTAGAAACTCAACAATTTTAGATTTGTGGGAAGGCTCTACCCGAGCAAAGCAGCGGGCATGGTGGCAAGCATCTCGTTGGGCAGCAAGGGAGAGCTCGTCAAATTCACGACCAGTAAAGGCCTTTGTAGAAACGTCTTCATCTTCCACAAAGATACCAATGCGACGGCAAATAGCTACTGCGGTGCCTTTATTATCACCAGTAATCATAATAACTCTAATTCCAGCTTGTCTGCACAGCTTTATCGATGAAGCTACTTCAATTCTTGGGGGATCCAGCATACCCACACAGCCGACAAAGGTCAGGTTGGTCTGAAACAAGACAGCACCAAGTTTCAGTGCAAGATCCCGTAAGACTTCTCACCTGACATTAGCAAAACAATCATTTTGCTTGCATGCTAAGGATCTCTCAGCATGGTGAGATCCTTTTCCCTCCTTTCCACAATATATTCTGTGGTTCTACGTTCAGCCTATGTCATCCTGGCCTTTGGTCAAAACTTGTATATAATGAATGATACATTTGCTGTTATGTCAGGTTTCCTTTCTTCTTTTTGTGTTCTCTGAAAGGGTTACTTCAGAGAGGTTAGATAACATTCTACGTCTTCAGAGCACTTTAGCTCGGACACTGAATTCAGACAGCTGAAAAAACCATAGTTATAATTTGTGACTTTTCAGTTTAACAAGAAGAGGTAAGTGAGAATTTAATGCTCTTGTAATCACCATGCTACATGATACCATCTGCATAGGGAACACACTGGAGGACACAGTTAATTCCCAGAGCATGACCACACTCTGAAGTGGGATCTCCTGTTTCCAAACATCTATCTTGCTTCAAATGTTTTTTATTTTATTAGGCAAGTTGTGCTTTAGCTCTCAGCCTTGCATACTCAACCTGCAAGCAGTCAAAAATCTTTCTTTTTCAGTATCAGTGCCAGGAGCACAGTGCCCAAGCCAGAAGCTCTCATGCAATTGTTGTCATTTCCCCTCTGAATCCTAGATCCAGATTTCATTGGAAAATTACAGAGTAGCTGAGATGATAATCACAGGCAGAGCTTTTGCAGCTGACGGTATGGAAGCAGGGAAGTGAACTTGACCCTCAGAGCAGAAAATAAGAGGTATGTTTCATCACAAAATCCCCAAAGAGGTCTTGCAGTTGAGCAATGTCAAACTGAAATCCATTAAAGCTGATACCACAATGTAATTTCTGGAATATTTCTGTTAGTCTTTGAAAACAGTTTTAGGTGTTATGATCCTAAGGACCCTTTCAGCTAGCCATTTAATTAATTTCTTTTATACTTTTAGCCAAGCAGCAGCATGTATACCAGCCATCAAGAACAGAGTTTCTTCAAGACACATATAATCTCTTAAACTGTGCCTGACATGCAAAATACCCAGAAAGAAAAAACTCTTCCTCAAGGAAGCATGAAACATGAGTCACCAGTTTGGGAGAACAAGTGTTAAAAGGGTATTTTACTCAATTTACCTCATAGTTAATGAAATTTGAGGAGTCCTCAAGATTCATCTCTTCTTTTTTGGGCGGATTGTCATGAGTCGCCAGAGCCAAGCAACGCAATGTGTCTCTACCTGTTCCCCACTCTCTAATGACAGACATTATTTTCTGCTTAATTCCTGAGGTTAACGGTATTTTAGCATTTCCAACACGGACGTGCGTACATCTGTCAATCACACCTTCAGGAGCACCCTGTAGAGGGAAAAAAAAGAAAAATCAATTAATTTTGCTTAATAAAATCCCTTTCCATTAAAACCATTGCTCGAATTACAAAGTCCTTCCTTCACCTTCAAGCTGCAGTTGTGCCTTAATTTTTTAGTATCATCCTACCTTAGCAGGCAGCATAACCACACTTTCCCAAGTGAGGAACTGACCTTAACAAACATTTTACTCATGGACGTACGGCTTGGTTTGTTTGGTGTACAATAGACAGACATAGACTTTCTGTCTCTTGAGAATTCCAGCGTGAATTCTTTCTTCATAAGTTGTTTTATGACCTTATTAAAAAAAAAAAAAAAAAAGGAACAAAAATGGATTTGGATAATACATACAACGAAACTCACTCCCCAATAAATTCCAGAGAAAAGAGTACTCACCGAGTTGCAAGCATTTGCACGCTCAATTCTAGAAAGTCCTTTCAAGTCTGTGTCAAACACATTCATCTTTTCAACCAGACAGGTAAGTGCCGTTTCTGTGGCTTCGCCAACTTTTTCATACACTCCCTTGGCCTTTAATTAACACAAAGAAAACAAAAACACAGGAGTTCACTTTAAACCTCACATGGAACCTACCAGAGACAAAAGTTCAAGTTTCACAATGGAAAAAAAGCTTAACAGGACTTACTATGGCTTATGAAACAAGCAAAACTATTTTAAAAAAGCAGCTTTGAAGAGTATGATTTGGGGGAAATGTCAAGCCTTTACTCTCAAGACCAGCAGAGAAGGATGTCAGGACTTTAGCATCGGGTATTTAGGTCATTAGGAGATGTAGTAACCTTAAGATGAGGGCAAAGCAAGAAAGTAGCAGGGCGTTCTACGCATCAGGAGAGCTCCAAGTTCCAGATTACGCTTGCTGTCCTGCTTTAGTTTACTCACTGTTGAGTAAGTCATTCCCAGAATTAATACTTAAAGAGGGCCCTAAGTGGATTTACCACTAAAAGGTATGACAGGCACATATGAGAAGAAACATTTATCCTCCTTCTAACACTCTCCTCTAAGGTATGTACTTACTTCATTGTAATCCAAAGAGGAGTCATTACAGAGCGCACAGATCGTTGCAAGTTCCACCAGGCCATCATACTGGCTACATTTAATAAGTTTGTCATCTTTATGCCTTTCCAAAGGAAGAACAGGGGGAGATTTAAGTTAGTTATTTAGTATTAGCACCTCATCTTTCCCCCTTCTTTAATCCCTTGACTGTACTTTCATTTAGTACAATGCTTATTAGTTATGGACTTGGAACTACAGAACCAGAAGTTGTTGAGAAGAGCAGGTTTCATAAAGGTGAGTTCTGAAATTTAGATTGAAGACTGATGAACAGAATGACAAGATTATCAATGAAACCACTACCCGAATTACAAAACCTTGTTTCCTCCAGTGACAGTCATGTAGCAAGGTAAAAGAGCAGAGCTCAGTGAAGAGGCATACGAAAGCACTATCAGAGCATGTGCAGGACTTGGAGGGGAATTCCAAGCAGAAGGATATTGCTGGATACCTTAGGAATTTAGCTTCCTTATTGCACATTCTGCAGATTTACTGCCACGCATGAAATGTATGCACTAGGCAGGCAGAAAAGTAGATTTGGCCTCTTAAAATTTATCTGTACTGTATGTGAACCTCCTAAGCAAATGAAAGCCAAGTCATTTTGCAATACAAATTCCACTAGAAATGAAATAGTAATTTCTAGCAGTCATATACACTCAATGATGAATATCTGAAAAAGTTAGAAGTAGGGAAGGGACATTTCCCTAAAGTTACCATTTCGACATCAACAAATAAGAAGCAACTTCTTTACTTTCACATTTAGAAACAGACAGTAAATTAATTCCTCTTCTGGAACATTATTATATTTCTAGAGTAAGTGTAAACCAACCAAGACAGTGTTCAACATTGCCATTTCCCACACACATCAAAATAAGCAAGTCATAAAAATCATATATAACATCTTTCATTAAAGCTCTCAATGAGGGGACTTTTTGTCTGATGGTAGAAAGACGTTGATAGCTACTTTATAAGAATTCTGAACAGACTATGACATGTCTGATTATGTAAGGTTTTGTTCAGTCTCTTGTAGCACTGCAAACAAATTTCAGTGTTGTATAACACGGCATGGGAATAAAATGCATCTTGAAAAAACAAGTACGCTTTTAGGGTTTCATTTTGCATGTAATTCTACAGCTGTAAGCAGTGGCTTAAAACTCTCAACTCTTCATACTTCACAGCAGCTCCGAGTTTGTCACCTCGTGTGTCACAGCTAATACTTCCTGTTTTCACCTGTTCCGAAATTGAAGCAGCATATCGGAATATCCATAACTTGTTATACCAGTTTATTTTTTTTCCCCTTTGGCTGCGAGTTCCTTATCAACTATTTCAGAAGAACGGCAAGTAAACACAGAGCCTAAGTTGCTGGGGTCAATTCTGGGTGATTTTTAATTTATTTTTTTTTATTTTGTGTTGGTTTTTTTCCCTTAAATTTTAATTTTTTTCAATTAGAAGACAAACTCATTTGAAGGTTAAATGCAATCTGTTAGGTTTTGCTGCAGTTCTTAATTATAGTTAGTTTTATGCTCTCGGTTGGCAAGTAAGCATGCACTTTGTGTGTTCAGAGACTTAAAATACTACTCCAAACTGCCTGACAATCTCCTAACATCCCTGGAAAATAAGTCAGTGCAAAATTTTAGTTTTTCAGTAAGAAATATTGGTAATTTTATACTCTGACTGCATCTTGGGGATCAAAAACTTTTAAGAGGAAGTGAAAAATTATTGACCTATCGCAAAAATGCCAAATGACTGCAAAAATTGAGTAGGCTGCCTATACAGCTGTGGAAGACAGTATCTGAAGTGAAGTGCAACAAAGAACATCTGTCAGGAATGGTCCAAATCTAGAGCAGGTCCTGCTTCAGGGCAGCGCAAGGGACTAGGAGGCATCTTAAGGTCCCCATCAAACTTTGTGACAGTCTGCAATCCAAGGTGAAGTCAGCTTTTTAAAAAAGCTGTCCATAAACGCAGAAATAAATCAGCCCCAAAGGTTTGAGAATTTAGTTTTTTCCTTATGCTGCCTTTCTGTGGTAATTTCCCTTTCATAGAACATCCTTTATGATCGTGAACGCAGCACAATTAACATGCTTTCCTCACTTTCACCAAGTAAAAATAGAACATTTGACATACACTGATGACTCTCTTATACTTGACATCTGTCACTGCACTGTATTTTATTATTTTGTTTACCTAGAGCTCTTGCGAGACCACCTAAAAGCGTAACAGCAGGATGCTTTACAAGATCTAGAATGTCACCTTGCCTAAGTAAATGTCCTCTCCTGAAAGGAAAGCACAAGCTTTTGACAGCAATTAGCTTTGAAACCAAAGAGAATCAGGGAATTAATATTTCCCACTGCTGAGAACACCATGGTCTTAACTGCTATGAAAATTAAACAGAGATAATCACTACTGAGATCAGTGGAGATTGCATGGAGTCAGAGGCATGCGTGTGAAACTCCACAAGGCTGAGATGTGTACAGTAACTGAATCTTAATCCTACTTCAGACATAGCAGATTTCTGTTCTGCAAGTAAAATCGAAGTGTTAAGATTAAAAACACATGAAAGACTGGCCAAGTAAAAGGAGTTGTAACAATCCAGAAATAAGAGGTTCTCCTTCTAGGAGAACCCTAAAAATTCCTAAAGTTGTCAGGATGAACCACCCTATCCCACCAGCAGAGACTTGCAACTGATGAAGGAAACCCAGCATATCATTCCTTTCCTATGGGAGTGAGTTTAACACCAGCTCAAATGCCATGCTGAGAAAAACCCACGCCATCTATTAAAGTACAAATGCACTGAGTCCTCTGCTGAAGGTAGAGGACAGGAGTGGACAGGCTTTAGAAGAAAAACATCTCCTACCTTCTCTGAGGCAGAGGAATTGGAAACATTGAGTTCACAGAATAACAGAGGCTCACCTGTCCACATTTACACATTGTTTTTAAAACAGAAAAAAAGGAAACCTCATTTGAAGCACTGAGATAGCTAATCTCAGTCCAGGAAGATTTCAGTAAAATGAATCCTCTCAACCTACTCCTAATGTATTTTTAGCTTATCCAAGGAACACTGCAATATTGGAGACTGTATTAAGCAAGTTTCAAGAAGGTTTACTTTTTGAGAATTTCACTTCCTTTTATTGTCAATTAATTTCCCCTGTAGCTCTTCAATGTGCATTCTCACTGGTTGACCTTTCATTTACTAATAATCACGATTATTACACACATCACTTCTCAAGCCTAAAGTAATAGTCAATGCATAAACAGGCAAATATTTAACTTGAACAGAACACTTACACTTCTCCCATGGGAGCATATGTTGAACCAGTTACAGTAAACTCATTCAGAGAACAGCTATCTCCTTCTACTCTGTCCAGGACAAACATCTGAAATTAGAGTTAGAAGCATTACTACCTTTGAAAAATAATTAACACAAGGCATTTAAAACAGGTCTTAAGTAAGCAGACACAAGAGGCAAATTCAGGTTGAATAAACTAGACAGAAAAACTCAAACAGATACAATATTCTAGTTTAATCCCACATGTTTGAAAAACTCCCTATACTGCAGCATAAACTAGTGAAAACAACACTTCTGCATTAAGAGACCTTATTTGAAAACTGAATCTTGGCACAAATAAATCTAAGAGTTGAAAAACATAAGCTACATACACTTAACTTCAGCTGTGAAGATTACTAAGGTTTCAGGCAAGAACCAGACTACAGCCACTAAGTGAAAGCATTTCCTGTACTAGTTTTCTCGTTATAAGTCACTTTACCATCCAGTACACCTGTAGCTTACAAACCCTCAGAAAGCCCAAGAGCCCTTCTAGCACAGGCTGAAATATCATTTTCAAAGACATCAATTCAAAGGATGCAGTTGTACCCTAGTCTTTCCTTTGTTCTCCTTTGTAGCTCAGTCTTTCCTTTGTTTCCATTTCTTTTCTAGGAGAGCTGCAGGCAGAACCACATTTGGGAAGAGGGAGATGAAAACCATAGTGCCTGAAGCTGGCTTACTCTCATCATGACTTGCTGGAGTGGTAGCAGAGAAGAAAATTTCACTAGTTGATAGTGTATCTTAATGGAACTTAACTGTTGGTTAGTCTAAATCCTTTTCCCACATCACATCTTTGTAACGCCTTACTTCCCCCTCATTGTGTTGCCTCATGTTTTAGGCAAGCATCTTCACAAAATACAGCCCAATGATTAAGTGTTCTACAATTCATCTGTATGCCTGGAGACTATAATCTTCAGTAATTTTAAAAAATCAAAAAGCTAGGCAAGCTCATAAATAAAAGCCCACAAAGCAGAGTAAGAGCATTCTCAACAGGAGACACCACAGGAGGACATTAAAACAGTCCCTCAAGTCTCCTGCCAAAGCAGTATCACTTGTGACTGTTTTAGTAGAGGGCTCCTTTCGATGCTCGGGAGTTACTACTTAACATAACAACTAAAACTACAAGCAGAATTACTGTTGTAAACTAGTTTTCTTTAAAAACTAAGCAAACTCTCCAGGTGGAGTGAAACCAAGAATAAATGTTGTTTACAGGTATTAGGACTTTGCTATGTTTTGCACAATCTTGCAATTAAGGTTATTCTGTAGCTGTCAAAGGTTAACAAGGAACCAAGGAAGTTGTAAGGCACCAGATCTAAAACGTTCAGCCTTCTAAACACACAGAGTAGAGCATTTTGAGCTTTCAAATAAACACAACTTAAATGACGAGCTAACCAGGAAGCCTTCTGCTTTTGGCATCTGCATGATTAAAAAATCCCTGCAAAGACTAGGGCAGTTATGCAACTCTACTGCAAGTAACCTCCTCCAGAATACTGATGAGCAGCTGCTTTGTGTCTCTTAGGTATAAACACTACAATACTTAAGGAAGTAGAACAAGTCAACCACCAGTTAGAAAGAAAAAGCCATCAATCACATGAGAACAAAGTGCTTAAGGGCTTACAAACTTTTGCCACTGGTGCGCGGCGCTCAACATTTACACATTCGGAATTCTAACCCAGTGTAATGACTCTGAACATTTGATGTCGTAGAGTTGCTAAGCTACTGAACATCTACAGTTATTAAACAGAACTTAATGTTTTCTCCCTAAAATTCCTACACAGAATATCAAGTATATGGGAAGCACAGAGAACTGGGAACTGAAAAAGCATTAAGCGACTAGCTATAAATCCCAAATTAACCAACATCAGAAAGAATACTGGGAGGAGGGGAAGAGAGATGGGACACATAACTTGCAGTTACCCAAAACCACACCCTGCACTGAAGATGACCCTGGCAGTGCTGGTGACAGGGTCAACTGCACCTCCGAGTTGCCAGATCTGTCATGGAATATTGCATGTTGAAAACACTACAGGGATCTATATCAGACCAGTAAGAGCTACTGAAGATAAATTAACCAAATAAAGGTGGAGCCACTCAGTACTGAAAATACCTTAGACCATCCAAGTTACTGAAGTAAATCTACCTTTTTCTCCTTGGTAAGGTTCTCCACCATTGACATCTTGCTGAATTAGAGAGGCAAGTGTTTTACACTTAAAGACATCCTGCTTCTACAGTGTAATCACCTTACCTTTCTGAAATGGGATAAATCATAATAAATAATTCCCTGTAGACTGAATGGCTTACAGACAAACCAATGGAAAGCTGCCTGCAAACAACTTTCTCTTCCGTCAAGTGAGCTATTTTTGGCCATGACTAAATAAGGGAAGAGATAAAAGCCTTAAACACTACACAGTGGAAAACCGAATTAAAAGTGGAAGCTTATCTTAGGAAAATAAAGCACAATTTTGATTATATGAGAACAGAAAGCCTAGCAATCAAAAGAATTCAAGCAACGCTGACGATTCGAACAGAGCAGCTGAGAAGAAAAAGAAAAATAGATGCTAATTCAACATACCCTGCAGACAGACATCTGATTCGTGGTCAGAGTACCAGTCTTGTCAGAACAAATAACTGAGGTACAACCCAGGGTTTCCACAGAGGGAAGGCTTCTAACAATAGCATTCTTCTTGGCCATTCTCCGGGTTCCAAGAGCCAAGCAGGTGGTAATGACAGCAGGCAGACCCTCAGGAATGGCAGCAACAGCAAGAGCAACAGCAATTTTAAAGTAATAGATAGCACCTCGAATCCAGGAGCCACCATGAACTGGATCATTGAAGTGACCAATGTTTATTATCCAAACAGCGATGCAGATAAGTGAGATGACTTTAGACAGCTGCTCTCCAAACTCATCCAGTTTCTGCTGGAGTGGGGTTCGCTCTTGTTCGGTAGCCACCATCTCATCACGAATTTTGCCAATTTCAGTGTTCACTCCTGTTGCAATAACCACTCCCATAGCTTTACCAGCAGCAATATTAGTACCCTGATGTAAATAAAGGGAAAAGAAAACTTGAAGTCAATCTATAAACAGGTTTTGGTGGAGGGCTATTTTTTTTTCTTTTTAAATTTAAGAAAAAACATCTTATACAAGTCCAGACTGTGTTTCAGCTAGAATATGGAAAATGGTGAAGAGAATGACATTTCCCCAGTATCTGTAAGAGAACACTCTGGTGTAGAATATCTGCTTACCGAATGAGCTCAAAATGAATCAGTATCGATCTACTTTAAGCAGCAGTCAAACCTAGCTGCTGAGCAAGCAGTATGTGTTTCAACTGAAACCTGAAGTATGTTTTCCTTTCTTTTATTAGGATTTTATTTTGCCAGATTTCATGTAATTCACTTCGAGTAAAAGATGTGTTCTGTGGGGCTCCCTGTGTGAATACACTTCGCATGAGAAAACACAGATTTGCTAGAGGTAGCCTACCAACAATAAGAGAACTGTTGTTTTGTTACCTAAAAGACGTTAAACGCTTCCTTTAAACAAATTCAAATAAACTGTTTCATTCCTATGTAGAAAGCTAGTTCTCAGTTTTAACCACACAGTACTACAATTTGTGTGGGCATTGTTAGTACTCTTAAGAACTATTACTTTAAGCTGTGTTAGAATCCCTTTAAAAGTGTGTGTGCTCCACTTTTCAAGACTTCCCTCTGAAAGACAAAAATCAGTTTCCTCACATAAACGAGTTCCAACAAGCATCTTCCCTAAGGACAGACTTCATTAAATGATACTTCTACTTTTTAATTCATTTAGTTTGATGTACATGGAGACATGTGTGCAGATATAGCAAAGAAGTCGTATAGCTTTTAGGTGAAGACCTGAAGGTCTGCACAGTTTTGTTTATCAGCTTCAGTATTATAAAAGCTTTGAAAATTTCAAAACAACTTACAGAAAAAAGCATATTCTTCTTGTCTTGGTTTACAGCACGAGGATCAGGCACAGGGTCAGTGTGCTTAATAACAGACACAGATTCACCTAAAATAAATATAATAGTCTTAAGAAGAGATTATGCATGTATCATCTCAAGTCCTGTAGGGAACTGAAAAATTAAAAAAAAAATTTAAGACTGAAGTTTCTAAGATGTCAAACTTCTTTCCCCAGATGATTTTATTTAATTGCTTAAGTTAAACAGAAAACATTTCAAGCTGACCAAAACAAAGTGAATGACTGTCTTTTAATGAAAATCGGAAAAGATTTAAGTAACCATTCTATATATAATTAATGAATTAATGAAGCATACACCATGTCTTAAGCAAGATGAAAAGTAGCCAAATAAGCAGCTGGTACATCACATCCCCTCCTTTTAATGTAGCAAGATCTGCTTCATGAATTAGATATTTTGTGTGCTTCTCATGCATTAATGAGCATTTCTGTTCTCTATGCACCATAAGGTGTGCTGTCATTTAAATAATTAGATACCACAATTACAAATTCGTGATGCAACACATCACAGTTATACTTTAAAAAAATAAAATTAAAAACTAAGTGTCATGCAGCCACCTACTAAACTCTAACTGGAAGTCTTCAGAAAACTCTTCTATAAAAACCTTAAATATATCAATTTCTACAAACACGTTACACATAATAGAAGGGTTTCTTTTCTATAAAAAGCGATGTTTGTTACTACATCAGATTTCACAGAGTGGTAACTCAGTGACTGAAGCTAAGAGCACAGAACTTTTTATAGGCTCACGAGAGAAAAATCTTCCTACTTTTGAAAGTCCTACTTTATCAGTTAGGAGACTCAAACAGCAGCTTAAAATAGGATGAAAACAGAAAAGTCTTTCTTTAAAAAAAAATTTAAAAATCTGTTTTTTAAATAAAGACAAGGAATTATTCCTTTTATACAGGCTTCCACCGGATCTTCTTCTACTTATTTCAGTTCTGATAGCTGAGAAACAGAGAGTGTATACATTTTTCAACAGAAGCAAGCTTGATCAGTTCTGTGCTATTCAGGAATAGCACCAAGAAACTTTGAGGCTTGTTTCAAGACAGATTCAAGGATCAAAAATAGGATTTGTACAAGTACTTTACTGTTTTAAAATTCAGGACTAGTTAACATTCATTTATGCTACCAAAACAGGCAGACAGATCTTCATGTTCCAGCTGAAAGAAAAATGTTACAGCATGCTTGGTTGGTTCCTAGCTTCTTTCCTATATTCAGAAGTACTGCTACTCTGTTTTGTTTTCAACAAATCTGAAAAGTTCTCTAAATATAGCTCCTGCACTTGAGAGCTGGTACCAGAAAACACATGAATATGCGTGCACAGAATTTCAGCAAATAAGGCTTTAGTGTACTGAGTCTTTAGTAACAGAGTTCAAAAGTTGCCTGCATTTCAAAAGTTACCCATTTTCTCTCACAAGAGAGAATAACTGTTACAGGAAACATTTAGTAAGATTTCCGTACTTTCATATTTAAGCAGTGACAAGATGGTCAAACCTAGAAGACTACATAAACTAGATTTAAAATTAATCTTTCATTTTACTTTCTCACAAATTTATAGTGTGTGTCTTGGGGTGGGAGGGGGACAAGACCACAAGAACATTTACAAGTCTTTACAAGAATGTCCATCTCACTGAAGCAAACACGTAAAACCAACGCTGAAGCAATACATTCAGCCACTCTTAAAAGTTACATCAGTAATTTACTGCACTTGAACACAACATCATACTTGCATAGCTGCAGGCCTGTTTCTAGCTGACGATTCCAAAGAAATTGTGTAAAGGCACTTTAAGTTATGCACACAATTATCCAAAAATCACAGAAATAATACCTGTGAGAATCGACTGGTCTACCCTTAGAGTTGTAGATTTGATAGAAGTAATTCTTATATCAGCAGGTACCTTGTCTCCAACTACAAAGAAATGAACAAGACAAAGTTAGAATTTTGTTATTTGAGAGATTCCTAACCTATCTCTATCAGCCAGGAAAAGGATTTTCCAGTAACTTTTCAGAGGACTAAGATTACTAACAGCTTATTGCTGCTTTTGTAGTTGCAATACTCCAATTTTCTGAGTATCCAATGGCAATTTAGATTTGCCTTCAAGACCTCTACCCCTACCTAACCTCAATGAAAGAAGCTGTAAATCACCGAATTGTTTCTCTAATCACATGACTACCACTTGACAGCAAAGAGAAAACATTTCAAGAGAAACATATCCATTTCAGAATACATATTTATAAACAACCAAAATCCATAGCTAAGGTGAATAAAGGTTCCTATTCAGAACAACTGTTCTGGAAAAAGTCTTTTGGTTGTTTTCTCTGTGCTCTAAGTCAGTTTTCTGCTCTCCAGCGTTTATTTATTTAGAAACTAAAAGAAGCTGTCTCCTCCTTTTCTTTGGCACCAGTTGCGAGAATAACGTGCTTCTGCAAATCTGCTCTTTGAATGTTACACTTTGAATACTGCCAGATGTTTCAGAGTTGAAAGGAAATTTCAGAGCTTTATTTTTCACTAATGCTACTCTACTCACAGAACTCTATGCTACATTTATCTTGTCATATATATATATGACTACACACATATATTTCCACTTTACAGAAGACAACACAGGAGAGAAAAAAAGAATAATAGAGCAACAAAACTCCACAACCAAATCAGAAAACCTCCACTAACAACTGTCAGAGACAGCAAGGCAGCAGAGGACACAAGTCAAATGAACAGCACACTCCTCAAGATGGCACAGTAACAAAGTCAGTTGTCAGAGCTGGGTGACCAGTTTAGCTCCAGCACCTCTGTCATCCCAGGATTAATTCTTCCACCCTCCTACTTTCACTTATCTAGCTTTTCCTAGTTGTTAAGAAAAGAACTACAAGTTCTGCCACTCTGTGACTCCTGCAAATAAATGGCTGCAAATTAACTCGCTAAAGCACACTAATCGGAGTCTACATTCTGCACGTTGATATTGCTAATGAATGTACATAATCAAACATTCACAACGTCATCTAGCACTGCATATATTCAAGTGTCAACTTCCTTTTTATTATAGAATAATGCAAAGAAGGGAGAATAACTAGCTAAAAAAGAGCTGATGCCAGTAGATGGGCTCTGTGTCCCTGCAGTAAAATTAAAACAAGCTGCAATTCCTGCAGGAACTGCTTATGCAACTAACGGCAATAGCACACATTAACAAATAATACCATGAGAAACTCCGCAGCGGTGTTACAGCCTTAGAACATCCAACTGCTCACACAGGAGAGCTCCAGAACAAAAGGCTGAAGAGCAGAATTAAGCTCTACTTCAAGTGTCAAACAAACTTGCACCACGTGACTTTTCATAAGGTCCAAACTCCCTCCAATCAGAAAAATCAGCAGAAGATTGCATAGGTTTGCTTCCGTATTTCCATGCGTGTTTCTCTACGCACGTGTATATGAAGCGATCCACTAAATAGCCACAAATTCCCTTTCTGTGTCATTACAGCACACAAAAACTAATTAAAGTCACAATGCCCTTGAGCAGCAAGTGAAAATAGCATTACACAAACGGTGACCTAGGCCAAAAATGGCAAAACTATTCAATATCCTCTCCCGATGTCGTGAGGAGGCTTATACGCAGACATATAGCAGCAGCTGTTTTTCAGATATCGCTGAACAACAGGCAAATACCTCAGTGCAATGTGGTGTAACGTCTGTCAAACTGCACAAATGTTTTCAAAGTGCTTAAAGCAGCTGGAAAAGCACAGCCAACTCAAACACGTGCTTGACAATACCGCTAAAGCCTCGATCGCTCCGTAACACAAAAAAGCAGCCGTGAAAAAAATCGTGTTACAACATTCAAGTAACTGGGCAGAGCATATGGCAAAGTTTACAAGTAATTTTCCAACCTACTTCTTCCAAACAGCTCCAAGTTGTTCAAACTCAAACGTAGTATTCACAAGACCTCAAGAAGTAACAGTAATCCCTGCTCTAGTAGAATATTGATGACTCAAGCATTCAAGTACTATCGTTATCAACTGCCTGAATCACCAGAACTGGAGTGTCAAACATGATAATGCAGCTCTCTAAAGTTTATCTCAACAATTTAAGCTAAGACACATTATTCCCTCACCATCACCACTTGAGAAGGCTGTAGTAAAATATTCAAGGCATCTCCAATAGCCAGGAAAGCTGCACATCAGGGTCAATTACAGAACTATTTTAAGCAGCTCTTTGCAAAATAACTGCTATGACACCAAGTCATTTATAGTCTTGAGTATCCTTCCACAAGCATAACTGAAACTGAGTAGATAGAAAATCATCCTGTGATAGATAGGAACCCACAGGAAATTTTTATTGAGTAGCCTAGTGCAGAGCTCATCTGCAAATAGAAGGCTTTTTTCTATGTACTTTAGTACAGGAAAGAAATTGGGATATTGGGGGGGGCTTTTTAAATTCAATTACATTTCAGTCCACAGATCCAGTAAAAGCATTACTCAAGGCTTGAAAGACAAGAAATTAGAAGGTGCATATGTATTTCTGTTGCTCAGTACAGAGCAGCTACAGTCTAAATGGATATAATCCCATTGTTTTAAGTCTGTAGTAACAAGCTGGTTGCAGAAGTGTTTTCATTCATTATTTCAACTGAAGTTTTTAAATAGTCACTTGATTTCTAAAACACCTCTAAAAAAATTAAGCGGTTTCCAAAACTGCTCAGATACATGTTCTTAAAGTGCAGTTTGGTCAAATACTTACCTACTGATTAGAAGAGCCCTTTTAACTATAAAGCCAACTGCTTCTTTGAAGAGCAAGAACAGAATTTCGTTCAAATAATAACAGCTTTATTCATAGAATCCTTTTCTTCATGCATAGAATACTGTTTTAGAATTTTAACACTGAACTTCAGCATACAATAAAGGAATCTATTTAAAAACAACCTGGTCCTGTAAGGTGTAAGAAAAAAGTAAAAAAAAAATGCATTTTGTCTATGCCAAAAAAGGAAATTTACAGCTTCCACTCCTTGATAGAAATTGGAATGGCAGTTAGTTGCAGTAGGCATTTAAAGCTTATGTCAATTGCCATATGCCTTCACTGAAAATACAGATAATTTAATATATGAAAATACTGGATTCTTCAGCTACCTATAAGTAACCAGCAATGTTATCTTGCCAAGATTGCCCCTGAATTTACCTAACACTCTAGCCTTTCTTCTCAGGTTCAAAGCTCCCCACATTTTATCTTGCTTCTCCCAGTCTTATGGCAATGTTAGAGTTCAATTTCCACTCTATATGTACAGTCATTTTTATATATGCGTGATTTTAAGTGCCGTACAACCCTACTTATCTGAGCACATCAAGCACAATAGATGCACTTCCTCGTGAAGGAGCTTCCCCCACGAACAAAAGTCTTTGGAGGACAATCCAACATGCAGACTGAGCTATTCAATTTGCCAAGTTGCCTTCAAAGAGAACCTGATTCAAGTCTCCAAATCACCTTCAGATAGAGAAAACACTGAACAATGTTAGTCCCAATTTAATACTATGCAGTGACCAGTCCTAGATTGAAATAATAGCAATAATATACATTTAACTTCATAATTCTGTCAGAACAGGGTTTAACACAACTGCTGGAAGACCTCTACAGGCAAAATATACTCCTAGTGTGTTGCAGGCTTCATCAGCCTGTGGATTAAACAGCCCAAGGAGATGTGCAGAAGCGAGGTTCATATTCTATCAATGAAGCTGGGGGAAAAACAAGTTATTAAAGCTGTGTGGATTTCAGTCCCTATTCTATTTTATCTACAAGTGAGTATCAACAAAAAAACCTTTAGACTACAATAGGACTATACTTGCTTTTCAAGTCTGAAACGATAATCTAGATCTTCTCATCAAAATTGTTGGTGATGGTAGCTATTAACTTCACTCCCCAAAAGTCACTATGATACACAAGTCCTCAAAGTAGAGCTGCTACTTGAAATGTGTACTTCGAACACCAATATCAGCTCTGTTAACCACCTCTGACCCCTCTCACAATTGAAAACTTTCTATGAGGAGGTTTAGAGACAGGCACATTATAAAAAGTGAAGAGTTCTGCTTCCTTTTTATCTTATTGTAATTGTTACAAGAACATCTTCTCAGCAAAGAAGATGATCTGTTTGCAAAAAGCCCATCTAAGTGATCACAGCAAATGAGAGGAATTTTTTCCTTTAGAAGTCAGAAGGGTTGTTCATATACAACATGTACCTAACGTTTATGTTTATCATTAACCAACACTAGCTGCATCTGCTGTCAGCAGGTTGGGGTTGGAACTGAACTCTTGCAATAAATATTATCAGTACAACCCTAAACTATTGTGCCACTGCTGCTGTCCAATTCTGTAACTTTTGGGGGTTTTTTAGGCAAGTTTGGAGAACTGGGATACCATTTCAACACACAGTTGAACGATTCGGGAACACAAACAACAGTTCCTGAAAGGGACTAAAAACATTCCCAAAACACCTTCCATAAAATATCAAATGGGGAGGACAAAAAAAAAGAAAAAAAAAGAAAAAAGAAATTATGAAAGGGTGTTTCCCCCCTTTTTAAGTGTCTAAATAGATTAAGGTTCATTGTTGACACATTCCATGTATTTTGACTGATAAAAGACACAAGTCTTATTATGGTCTTATGCTTTATTAGGATGCTCTAATTTCAACAGGCTAGAGTAGAAATACTATCAAATTTAGCAGATATAGTCTACGACTCTGCTATTGAAACATCTCTGATTCAAAATACATTGTGCATAGGAAAAGCAGCATTAAATCCTTCGCCAAAATAACATTAAGTATTAGCAACTATTTTCTTTAACTGTTTCATCATCGCATACTTATGGGTATAGTGATTTAATCCACTTTTCCTAAGGAGATCTTTAGCCTCTTAGAGTCAGTTACTTCCAAGTCCC